CCACGCTTCGTCCCTTCAGATTCTTAAACCTTGGGTCAAGTGCTGTAGCTATTTTTAGAAATCTCACATTGGTACCTTCTTTGCATTTTCTCAGCTCTGCAGTGAAAGTGTTCTTAAAACAAACAACATGTGCTGGGTCATCATTAGAGACTACTATAATAGAAAATGTATGGCAGAATGCGGGTAAAACAGAACAGGAGACGTACAATTCTCCCCCGAAGAGTTCAGTCACAAATTTAATTAACGCATTTTTTTTTTTAACAAGCATCATCATCATGGAAGCACGCCCTCTGGAATGGTGGCCGAAGAATGAAAGGCCATATGAACAGGAGCGGCGCCAGGGTTTTTGCCGCCCTAGGCGGCAGCGCTCCTCCTCTGAGCATTCAGTGGTGGGGGTCCTTCCACTCCGCATCTTCGGGGCACTTCGGCGGTGGGTCCCGGCGAGAGTGAAGGACCCGCTGCCGAATTCCTGCCGAAGACCCAGAGCGGAAGGACCCCCCGCCGCCGAATTTCTGCTGAGGACGGCAAAATGCCGCCCCCCGCCCAAATCCTGCCGCCCTAGGCCATCACCTAGGGTCACCTAGTGGAAGCGCCGGCCCTGCATACGAATGTTTAGCATATCTGGCACTGTAGCGGGGTGGACACCTGCTCCTGCCCTGAGGGGCTTAAAAGAGCCCTAGGAAAGGGCTGTGGCAAGAGAAAGCAGCCACTGGGCTGATTGGGGGAAGCAGGAAGAGCTGCGGCCACGCCCCAAACAGAGCCCAGCTGGCCCCTATAAGAGGCTGCGAGCCAGGAACCCAAACAGTCTCTCTCTAGCTGTAGAGGGAGATGGGCCTGGCTGTAGGGAGCTAGAGACAAGGTAACGGGAGTGGAGCAGGGCTGGGGGAAGGCCCAGGGAGCTGGGGAGCTCCAGCCTGGAAACCCCCCAGGCTGCGGCCTAGTATAAGGCCAAACAGGTACTGGGTGGTAGAGGAAGGCAGCAGGTCCAAATCCCCCTTGCCAATGATGAGTGGCATACACTGCAGTCTACCCCAGGGAACGGGGGCTAGTTGGTGACTGGCAGTAGCCTTTCACTGAGGCAAGGTGGGGATAGGGGGGTTCCCCTGGGTGGGGAGACCCCGAGACCCTGGGGTTACTGCTAGGGGGCAGCACCCCAGATAACAGGGCACCGGAGTCCAGGGAGGGACGCGGGGGCCTAGTGGTAGTGGGACACCAGCCTGCAGAGCACGCTCCAATTAGCTGGAAACAAGCTAATTCCCAAGACACCAGCAGGAAGCGCCGCAGGGGTGAATCCGCATGCTTACAGGCATGTAAATACCTTGCAACGCCAGCTACACTAACACCTCTTCGCTCCTCGCTTGTAGCAGTGTAACTCAGGAGCAACTCCAATGAAATCAGTGGAGTTACACTGATATAAAATTAATGACCCACAGGTGGTTCACCAGTCTGGGAAGCAGTCTGATGAGTGGCACTGTGGTTCACCAGCAGATATAAACTCAATCTGACAAGCCAGAGAAGGCATGTCAGACTGGCAGTGCCAGCAGGAATCTGAAACACACTTCTTGAGTTGAAGAAGGTACTAAGAGTCTAGCCAGCATAACTATACTGGCAAAGGTGCTGTAGTGTAAACAAGACCTGCATTAACCATGTTTTTGGGCAGGTAATTTCCCATGTTTCTTGAGAAAGAAGTGTTAGTGAGGAGGCATGATTGGAGGGCACCTATGGGAGTGGAATGATCTGCCACTTTAGCTACCAGCTCTGTCCGCCTCCTGGCCCCACCATGCCCCCTGGAGGGTTGGAAGGGCCATGGGAAGAAAGGAAGATGGTAACTGATGGGCTGTGACGAGCACATCTACCAGTTGGAGGTAGCAAGATGAATAGCAGAGAGTCCAGACTTTGTATCTACTTCAGGGAGCTAGTGCAAAGGAAGGGGCTCTGCACAGCCCTCTGCAGTACAGGAGTGCTGTTGATGTGTGGCATGGCCCATTCACCTCAGTGGGGTGTGATCAGATGAATTAGGATTCTCCAAAGAGATTAACAGTATAACACAATAGCTCCTGGTGGTGTGAAATGACCCATTCATCTCAATGGGAGTTCCCCTCTACCTCATATTCAGTTGTGGAATACCATTGTTCAAGGTAATCTCACTATGCATGTCAGTTTTAGAGCAACTAGGATATTAAAATCATCTTCTGGGGGAGGTGGGAGAACAGTATCTGAGGAACATCTGAACCAAATTATTCCAAACTTGCACCATTGCCCCTGTTGGGGCATACCAATATCCTAGATAATCTCATTATGCATGTGGATTTTAGAGTACTTTGAAAATTAAAAAAGAGGAGTACTTGTGGCACTTTAGCGACTAACAAATTTATTTGGGCATAAGCTTTCGTGGGCTAAAACCCACTTCGTCAGATGCAAGGAGTGGAAAATACAGTAGGAAGATATATATATATATAGAGAGAGAGAACATGAAAAGATGGGAGTTGCCATACCAACTCTAATTAACAAATCAATTAAGGTGGGCTATTCTCAGCAGGAGAAAAAAAAAACTTTTGTAGTGATAATCAGGGTGGCCCATTTCAAACAGTTGACAAGAAGGTGTGAGTAACAGTGGGGGGGAAAATTAGCATGGGGAAATAGTCTTTAGTTTGTGTAATGACCCATCCACTCCCAGTTTTTATTCAAGTCTAATTTAATGGTGTCCAGTTTGCAAATTAATTCCAGTTCTGCAGTTTCTCATTGGAGTCTGTTTTTGAAGTTTCTACGCAAAAGAATAAATGGACACAAATCAGACGTCAAGAATTATAACATTCAAAAACCAGTCGGAGAACACTTCAACCTCCCTGGAGACTCAGTTAGAACTAAAAGTCACAATTCTTTAACAAAAAAACTTCAAAAACAGACTCCAACGAGTACTCCTTGTTCTTTTTGCTGATACAGACTAACACTCTGAAACCTGAAAATTAATAGATGCTCATAATGCAGGGGGAGGACATGTATTGGGAACTTCTTGATCAAATTACCTAAATTTGCACCATAAATTCTACCCCAGTCCATAAATAGCTTTTTAATTATTGCTGCCCCAAAAGGGAAGTGGGTGGTGGAAATTATCCACGATTGATCCCGAGAGAGTAATATCAGGATCAGAGTAATAGTTTGAGCCCCAAGCACGTGGGAAAAAAAAGAAAATAAAAGTTATAAGAAGTGTAAAATTTGGGTATCACATGATTATTTTAGTAGGACTGTATCTCACTTAAATGACCTCAAAAATCTTGACAACTAAACCAACCCTGTGGCTATTTTCAAGACAAGATTTTTTGGAGGCCCTTTTTCGCCTAATCAGCTTTCTCTTACCCTAACCTATGCTGTTGTGATCCCAGCACTCTGTTCTATATGTACTTGCAATGGTGGAAAGGGACAAATTTTCACACCCAGATCCAGTCTTTCAGGCCCACAAAGTCAGCAGTTACCTTGATTTTGGGGAATTAGGAATGTAAAGGATAATTTCATTTTTAAAGGTGATCTGTAAAGGGGCAATAACTGAGACTGTGCCTTTGTTTGATTTTCTTCTGATGTGTAAAGAAGGCATGAAGATTTGGGAGCCTAGGTGTTTTGTTTTTGTTTGTTTTGGGGAGGGAAGACACATTTATGTTGTCTCCTTTTATATTAAAAATCCAGGTCCTGTCTAGCCTGGGGGACTCATGCTCTGTCTTTGTCTAGACTAGAGTTGATGGTCCTGTTATAATTTGAGCTAATAAATCGTAAATGCTAACTGTGTTGATAACTGAAGTTCTCCACAAATGTTTGTTCTTGGACACAAAGTTTTGTGGTTTGCCTGAGGCTGAGCCACCATGTCCTGATACTTTGCAAAGTCTAGATTAGCATTTACAATCACTTAACAAGCAATTGGCAATCAATTACAACAGGAGGACAAATGCTAGTCCAGACAAAGCCTATGATAACAGGAAAACAAGTGAAATGACAACATCATTCATAAGACTCAAGAGACAGAAAATTGAGCAAAGGAAAGGTGAAGGGATTTTAAATTTTAAATTGACTCTGCACTTGTCCTTGTTGAACCTCATCAGGTTTCTTTTTGGCCCAATCCTCTAATTTGTCTAGGTCTCTCTATATCCTATCCCTACCCTCCAGCGTATCTACCACTCCTCTCAGTTTAGTGTCATCTGCAAACTTGCTGAGAGTGCAGTCCACGCCATCCTCCAGAGCATTAACGAAGATATTGAACAAAACCGGCCCCAGGACCGACCCTTGGGGCACTCCGCTTGAAACCGGCTGCCAACTAGACATGGAGCTGTTGATCACTACCTGTTGAGCCCGACAATCTAGCCAGCTTTCTATCCACCTTATAGTCCATTCATCCAGCTCATACTTTTTTAACTTGCTGGCAAGAATATTGTGGGAGACCGTATCAAAAGCTTTGCTAAAGTCAAGGAATAACACATCCACTGCTTTCCCCTCAACCCCAGACCCAGTTATCTCCTCATAGAAGGCAATTAGATTAGTCAGGCATAACTTGCCCTTGGTGAATCCATGCTGACTGTTCCTGATCACTTTCCTCTCCTCTAAGTGCTTCAGAATTGATTCCTTGAGGACCTGCTCCATGATTTTTCCAGGGACTGAGGTAAGGCTGACTGGCCTGTAGTTCCCTGGATCCTCCTTCTTCCCTTTTTTTAAAGATGGGCACTACATTAGCCTTTTTCCAGTCATCCGGGACCTCCCCCAATCGCCATGAATTTTCAAAGATAATAGCCAATGGCTCTGCAATCACATCCGCCAACTCCTTTAGCACCCTCGGATGCAGCGCATCTGGCCCCATGGATTTGTGCTCGTCCACCTGTCCTCTCATCATTTAATTATCTGCCATCTGTTTAGGCTCTAAACTCTTTGGGACTGGGAACAGTCTATAATTAGGCAGCTAAAGCATCAAGCACACTTTTGAGACACTATTTAAATAATCAGTAATAGAAGTGAGTCAGTAAGTTACCAAAAATATTTTAATTGCACCCTCAAGCTGTACACACACCTTGAATGGGTAATCACAAGATCATATTGCTGTAACCTTCATCCTTCCTTGGACATCCCATCCCTATTGTTTGTCATTCCACTCACTGTACCCTATTTAAAATTTAGATAAAAATCTTCATGGTAGACATTTTTATTTGTTTGGTAAATTGCCCAGCAGAGTTTTGGGTATGGACAAATTGAAAAATCAATAGGATACGTAATAAGCTTGAATGGGGGAGAATTATATGTGGAAGCCAAAGGGTATAAACACAAATAATTAAAAGTAAAAAATAATAATAATAATAATTTGAACATGAGGAACAGTCTCTCAGAGTAAGCTCTACAGGATTGCAGAATAAACTAGAAAAGACTATGGCAGAAGAATCTACCAAAATGAAGTTGTGGAACTGTCATTGCTTGAGACATTTAAACTCGACTGTACAAATCACTAGAGGGAAAAAAAAATACTGCAAAAAGTAAGCCTGCCCGGGGGGAAGGACTAAATGTTCAAATGTATTTTCCATTTCTATGAATTATGGAGAAAGCAAGATTAGAAACTGTTAATACAGATTTTTGTCTAGCACTAACTCCCAGTGTTTAGGGTGCAAATGTAATTTTATTAACCTAGTAAATTATGTTTCTCTCCATTGGAAACTAATTTCCTTTCAATAAAAGGTATAGCACAGGAAGAGTAACAGCAAACACAGTGCAGGTTAGTGCAGTGCTGAAGATTGAATTTCTCTTGATTTGTGTTTCCAGTCTCCGCTCTGCACCACACAATTCTAGAATCACATCCTGCATGGCTAAGGCCTGGCCCTTTACCTCAGCTGAAGAGCCAAGGACCACTCTTTCCACAGGTCTAGAATGAACTGCATGTTTAACATTTTGTACCTCAGCAGTCATTTGTCCTAAATTTTCTTCCAGGGTGCTAAGCTGCTGTTGTAAACTCCCCATGCAGGAACTGACTTGTTTTGAGTAGTTTAGATGTTCTTTTAAAGAAACTAAAAGAGGGTCTATTTTTAATGATGCACTCATGCCTTCTGTCCCAGTCCCAGCTTCCAGCATGTTTCTCAGGGTGTCAATGAGGTCACTGAGATCCTTCTGTTGTATGTAGTGGCTGGACGCCTGTTCTTTGATGGCCTCCTGTAAGCTTATTGGTCCCTTCTGTGCTTCGAGAACTAAGGCTTTTAATTCTTGCAGCCTTACTCGGTTGATATACGTGGAACCAAAGACACCGATAATAGCTCCTAGTACAGAACCAATAATGGACCAGTTCTTCGTTTTTTCTGCTCTTGTTCTCTCTTTTTCATGGCTTTCCCTCACAGCTGCAGAGAAGAGAGAGAATTTTTCCCGCTCAGATTCCTCTGCACTTAAATAGGCAGTTCGGTACCTCTTCTCTTCCTGCAAAAAACACGACATATTGAAGAAGATGTGATGTGCAATTATAAAATCACATTGAAGTCTACATCTACAAATTAAATACTTGGTTTGGTGTATACATACGTTTTCCTCTATGCACAGAACTATAGTGTAATTTAATATACCTCAGCTGTGTCCTGGAATCATTTCTAGCTCAGAAATGTCTTATTTTATTGTCAGATTTCCTTAGTCAAATCTAGTTATAACAATCTGAGATGTAATTTCCAGTGAAAATTAAAGACTAAAAATGATGATCAAGAATTACACTTTAAGCTTTGCTGTGCAGAGATTTGTCACATATAGGTCTGTCCTTGTTATCCTCCTCTTCTCTCTTTACAGTCTATCTGTGGATCATCTTATGTGCTCCCATTGCTTTAAATTACCATCTTTACACCAATGACTCACAAATCTACCTTTCCACTCTTGATGTCTGCCTCCATTCAGTCCTGCATCTCAGTCTGTTCCTCTGATGACACCTCCTGGATGTCTCACAAGCAATCTGAAAATAATGTGGCTAAACCTACACTGCGCTTTCCTCCAAAATTCTCTCTCCTTACCTTCATTCTGTCAACACTGACACCATCATCTTTTCCTGTCAAATAATACCATAACCTGAGAGTCCTCTTCCAGTTCTCCCTCTCTCACACAAAACACCCAGGCTTGGTCTGTATCTTGACCAGAATATTTTGAGAGTCCATTCTCTTTTATTTTTTCTTCATTGCTAAAACTTGTCCAGGCCCTCATCTCCCAAATCTGGATTACCAAAATTGCCTCCTCTCGGGCCTTCCATGATACATTGTCTGACTCAAACTGACCCATCTACATTACCTGACCCAATCAAAACACAGCTAATTGATCATCTTCCTTGATCTTCACTGACTACAATAACTTAATCTCCCTTTGAATCACTCCACTGGCTTCCCCTCTTCCATTATATCAAGTTCCAATGTTTTCTCCTCACCAGCAAGGCCTTCACAGCTCTGCCCCTGTGTACTTATCCACTGCTGTTCTCTTACTGCTTTACCCTGTAGCCCACTTACAATGCTAGCTTCAACCACCCATATGTTTGCCTCTCAAACAAGAATCTGCAAACTTTCTTCTACTCTGCTTCTTATACATAGATTCATAAATTTTAATCCCAGAAGGGACCATTATGATAATCTAGTCTGATATTCTGGTTAGCACAGGCCAGAGAACTTCAACAAAATAATTCTTACAGCAGATCTTTAAAAAAAACCATCCAATCTTGTTTTAAAAATTGTCCGTGATGGAGAATCCATCACGATCCTTGGTAAATTGTTCCATTAGTTAATTACTCTCGCCATTAAAAATGTATGCCTTATTTCTAGTCTGAATTTGTCTAGCTTTAATTTCCAGCCACTGGATCATGTTATAGCTTTCTCTGCTAGACTGAAGAGCCCATTATTAAATATTTGTTCCCTATGTATGTTCTTATAGACAATCAAGTCACCCCTTAACCTTCTCTTTGTTAAGATAAATAGATTAAGCTGCTTGAGTCTATCACTGTAAAGCATGTTTTCTAATCCTTTAATCGCTCTCATGACTCTCCTCTGAACGCTCTTCAATTTATCAACATCCTTCTTGAATTGTGGCCACCAGAACTGGACACAGTATTCCAGCAGTGGTCACACCAAAGCCACATACTGTGTAAAATAACCTTTCTATTCCTGCTTGAGATTCCCCCATTATGCATCCCAGGATCACATTAGCTCTTTTGGCCACAGCTTTGCACTGGGAGCTCATGTTCAGCTTATTAGCCACCATGAACCCCAAATCTTAAGAGTCCCAGTTTACCAGGATAGAGTCCTCCATTCTGTAAGTATGGCCTACATTCTTTATTCCTAGACATATATTTACATTTAGTCATATTAAAATGCATAATGTTTGCTTGTGCCCATTTTACCAAGTGATCCAGATCATTCTCAATCAGTGACCTGTCCTCTTCATTATCTGCCACTCCCACAATTTGTATGTAATCTGCAAATTTCATCAGCGATGATTTTATGTTTTCTTCCAATTTATTGATAAAGATGTTAAATAGTGTAGGGCCAAGAACCAGTCTCTGTAGGACCCCACTAGAAATAGACTCACTCAGTGACGATTCCCTGTTTACAGTTACATTTTGAGATCTTTCAGTTTGCCAGTTTTTAATCCACTTAATGTGTGCCATGTTAATTTATAAAGGAAGTATCATTATTCCATTTTACACATGGTGAAACTGAGTTGGAGAGGTGAACTGACTTGTCCAGTAGGCCAATGGCAGAGCTGGGAGTAGAATCCAGGTCTCCTAAGTCCCAGTCCAGTACTCTGTCTGCTAGGACACACTGCCTATTTGAGGCAATTTGGACCAATTTTTCAGAAGTGATGGGTATCCATGGCACCCACTAACTTCAGTTGCACTTCTGAATGCTCAACAATTCTAAAAACAAGGCTGACAGTTTGAAGCTGGGCACCCAATCATTGATACATCTAAAATTAGTGCATACTTATGCAACTTTGGCCCTTAATCTTTCTATGAGTCATTTCCCAGCTGACACTATAGGCTAGTAGATTAGAGTTAAATCTGGAAGTCAGGGGACTGGTTCCAACACCAACTTGCTATGAAACCTTGGATGAGTCACTTGCTCTTCTGGAGCATGTGTTTCACTAAAACAGAGATAACAAGAACTGCAAACATTCTGGTTTAAGTGACTTGCCTAGCATGTCACAGGAAGTCTGCAGCAGATCCACACATTGACGTGCAATTAACTGCCTTAGATACAAGATCATTCTTTCTTCTTACAGTCCCCTTCCTTATTCACTACACACCTTCCAACTTCGGCAGCAAATGAGGCAGGGGCTCTACAGACAACAGCTAGTCTCATTCAGTACACCACCCTGAATCATTCACTGAGCACTGTCCACTTTGAGCATAGCATGAAGAAGTGGACCTGTGAAAAAATTGTATGTGATCACCGAATCATAGGGTTAGAAGGGACCGCAAGTGTCATCTGGTCTAACCCCCTGCCAAGATGCAAGATCACATAATTAAAGTCTCTACCATAATGCACATGCACACGGGGTAAGAAGTAACCTTGATTATAATATTTCCTAACTTTTGAGTGCTCGGCTTTTCAACCTTAAGATTCTTTTAAGATTGCGTGTGAGGTATGGGACCACACACTGAATGAAGATTCCCCGAGCACCATCCATTATGTGCACTGAATAAAGCAAGAGTCCAATGGAAAAATAGTATGTGATCATATAACTAAAGACTGCATCATTGTGCATATGCACAAGGGGGCAAATATAGGTTGGCAAAGACAAGGTTAAATATAGGATTTCCTAATATTTCAGTGACTTTGCAACCTAAATAACTTTTTAATTATAGCTTTTGTGTATATATAATTATATACACATATACATACACACACCCACACACTATATATATATATAATGTGTGTGTGTGTGTGTGTGTGTGTGTGTGTATGTATATTTTTTATATATATATAAAAATAAAATGTGTGTGTGTGTATGTATGTATATAGCTATATAAAAAAAACACACACACACAGGGCTATTAAAATCCTTCCAAGTCTAAATAAAGCTCTAATACCTATCCTATAAACTCCAAATGAAGTTACTAATTTAACCAGATTTCATCTTGAAACTTGAGCATACTATGCATTTCTGATGCCTCAGCTTTTACAACTGTCTCCTAGATCCTCTCCATTCCACTAAAACTGTCCCCAATAAAGTAATTGTAATCACTGCCTGTGACCCAAGAACTTCTTAATGCCAATTGACAAGGAGATGCAGAGGGGTTACAGGCCTCACATGGGTCTGCTGTATACATTTTAGTTCACCAGAGAGAGTATCATGTGAGGTCTGTGTCACTCTGGTCATCAAAATCATTGTAAAATGTATATACAAATACCAGGTAAGAAGTTATGTATACATACTGAACATATGTTCTTTAAAAGTCTGTAGGTACTGGTCACCAGCAAAGGTGAAAACTGGTTTTCTGTCAGATGATAGATGTTCATTCATCTATCTATTCACAAGTAAACAGAGTATTGCTTCATTCAGAATGGGCTTCTTACCACCAGTCTGAGCTGAATGCAGATAAAGGATTGTGAGGCCTTCAGAGAAAAAAAAAAATCTAACAGGAAGAGAAAAGCAGGAGGGGGGAAACCCTATCTGGTGGGCACACTTCAAAAGTTTTCTTAACTAGGGTTACCACATCTAATAAATAAAAAAAGAGGACCCTCCACGGGCCCTGGCCCCGCCCATTTCCCCACCCTAGCCCCGCCCAACTCCGCCCCTTCCCTGCCCTAACTCCGCCCCCTCCTCCCTCCCACTCCCAGCCACGGGGAAAGGGCTGCCCCAGCGCTACCGGCTTCACGGTTTGCCGGGCAGCCCCCAGCTCTGTAGGACCCCACTAGAAATAGACTCACTCAGTGACGATTCCCTGTTTACAGTTACATTTTG